ATATATATATACATTAATAACATTAATAAACGATGCCTTCTTCGCGCAACTCCTCTATTATTGACATTATCTCATTATCGTGTCCAGTGTGGCCAGCCATTTTAGAACCCCACAGTAGTCGGAGGCGGTCAACCAGCTCTTTTGCTTCATTCCAATAAGCATACTCTTTGTGTTGTTTACTCACGACTTTTCTGTATGGTAATGATTTGCTCATTCCTCTACCACCTTTAACTTCATTTAACAGGAGTTGACTCCTCATTTTATGCGGTGTGCCGATTAATGGCTTTATGACTAGCTGATATTTCTTCCTCGCACTATTATTCAAACCTTCTCTGATGTCATAATTCTTATATGGCGCTCGTGTAGTCTCCAACAAAGTGGTGTATATTCTTTTATCTTGATCATCGATAGTTCTTGGCACATGTTTCATAAAGATCAAATCGTATAATCCAGTTGTTGCTGGAAACGCTACGCTTCTCTTATTACCGCGCCATAATTCGATTTGGTCTGCAGGAAATCGGATTTCCATATTACCCATTTTCAATTCCCCTGTTTTGGAATCGATGTGAACGCCATATGTTGTATCATAATTCGAGTTATTTTCTTTCAAATTCCTCAAATGCTCCATTATTTTGCCCTGTAAGTCGCTCGCGGTTGTTCCATCTACAGAAGGATACACTGTAATATCACTGCTTGAAATTTGAGACGAAGATGTTGGTGGTGTTTCCAATAGAGTTGTATACTTAGGTCCTCCGTTATGAGGCGATGATGGTAGCGGTTGAAAGCTATTGCTGAAATTCCCAGACTCCCCATGTTTCTTGAACGGCTTCGTCGCTACAGCATTCGCCTCATTACTCGATATTGGTGTGGAATAATATGTCGGGTGTGCTATTGTCAACGTTGAAGGTTTGCTATAACTCTTCGGAGTAGCTGCTGGCATTAGATTTTGCTTGGCTACTGCCGCCGTTGCTGCCGCGGTGATAACCTTCAATGGTTTTGTCAGCGGCTCATAAGCTTTTTCTAACATCATTTGGTTACTGGTGAGTTCGCTCTTGAGACTTTTAAATTTATTCCTTACCGCATCGGTTGCTTCAACAAGTTGGCGTTTGAGGTGTATTTCTGAAGCGATTTCACTACTAGGTGTGCTCATTGTGCTATCCAAAGGTTGAATGAAGTCCATGCAGTTGCTGTTTTAGGGGTATATGAAGCAGTCGAACCCTTTCCTATAACGGCCCTCATGAATTTCACTATCCTTATCTATAACGAGAAACCCGTATCTATCTGTCCAACTTTGTGCACACATTTCTTGAAATTGTTTAAATGTTACATCTGGAGATACATGATCGGAATAAATGTGGTGTAGATTCATATCATCCTGCCTAAACATGATTATGAAGTTGGAATTATCGCGAATCAGCTGTTTCGGCACTCTCGAATACGTTTGTGCTAGATAAAAGCAATCCACATTTTTATGGCGCCCCATTGAGAAATATGATCTGATTACATCTTGTTTTTCACATATCACATCGTCGAATATGAAAATACTGTGTTGCTTCGCATCTTCCGGTTCAACAATGTCCACATTATTACTATATGTATAAAACCCCAGTCCCTTTATCGGTTCCAATACTTTCCGCAAGTACTCATACTTGGGTTGATACAACGATTTTGAATAGAGATAAACATTGGCGAATCGTAAACCATTATCGTTGGTGAGGAGGGATATCATAACATTCGTTTTGCCGCAATTTGATGGGCCGATAATGAGACTGCGTATAGTATTAGGTAGTAGGAATCCATGCCGACGTTGTGTAATTATACCATTTCCTAACCCTACTTTTTCATCGAAGTTGTCAACTCGCAATGTTTCTTGCTGCTGAACAATCTGCATTGTATGATGGTCAAATGCTATATAATGAATCGCAAACTCTGTGAATGTCATTTATATTATGAAACTGAAGCGATACACATCGGCAAGCGATAACGGTGAAAAAAGTTTTCGAGGAAAGAGGACTGGCAGAGGATTTGTTAATACTTTAATTAATAAATTACCGGTCGAATTACATATTCCCGGCGGCTATCAGTATTGTGGTCCTGGAACAAAGTTACAGAAACGATTATCTCGAGGTGATCCAGGCATTAACCAATTAGATAGAGCGTGCAAGGAACACGATATCGCATATTTCAAGCATCCGAACGATTTATCTGCAAGGCATTCTGCCGATAAGGAATTGGAAGAATCCGCGTGGAAACGTGTTAAATCAAAGGACGCATCTGCAGGAGAGAGGGCCGCATCTTGGCTTGTTACCAATATAATGAAGGGAAAGAGGCGTTTTGGTATGGGATGCAGCAGCGGAGTGAAGAAACGTCGAGTGTCGAGGAAGAAGAAGAATACTACCAAGAGTGGGAGAAAAATTGCTTTTGGGTCCGGCATAGTGCACAAAGTTCGCAATGTGTTGCGACAAGTGGGAAAGAAGGGGGCACTCGCCAAAAACTTGGCCAAGACTTCTCTTATGGCGATTGGAGCTGCTAGAAAATTCGTCAAGATGGCTGGTGGAAAGAATAATATCCGAACACCTCGCATTATACCAATTCCTAAAGTTGGAGGAATTCTTCCACTCATACCCATTTTTGCGGGATTATCGGCATTGGGGAGTTTGGCTGCAGGTAGTGCTGGTATAGCTCGAGCTATTAATTCAGCTAAAGAGGGTAGGGAGCAACTCTCTGAAGCGAATCGTCATAATAGACATTTGGAGGCGATCGCTCTAGGAAAGATCGGTAAAGGAGTATATTTGAAGCCGTACCGAAAAGGACTGGGCATTTACTTGAAGCCGCAAAGTTCAAAAAACTAGCAGGGTTACCTCGAAGGGCGTTGACGGACATCGATTTATCACAATACATAGAGAAAATGGGTGTTCCAAACTTTCGAGGTATATTTATGAGAGATAATCTACCAAATTCTCCACCGCGCCACATAGAATCAGCCATTCTGAATCTCGATGGTATTCGAGGTAAAGGGACACATTGGGTTGCTTATAAAAAACGTGGTGGGGTAGTCGAATATTATGATAGTTATGGCGATTTGCCGCCACCCGAAGAGTTGGTGAAATATTTAAGGAGGGGATCAAAAGCTATCAAAATCGTATATAACTATGACCGTCAACAGGATTACAACACAGTCTGGTGTGGTCATTTGTGCTTGAAATTTCTCTCGTCGAAGAGTGGAAACTACGTATTATAATATGGATAGAAAAAGCATCAAACAAATGGGGCACGCATTATTGGCTTACTCGAGATTACGATCTTTGCTGAAGATGAGTGAGAAACAGCTCGCTGATATGCCGAAAGAGGTTTTAATCGGATGCGCTTCACATGAGATAGCTCTAGTGTGGGATAAATTACCTGAACAATTACGCAACGATCAAGATGTATCAAAATATCGATTTTGTGAGGAGCACCACGAACACCGCCGCCAAGAGGATAGTGACCATTCCAGCGCAGATGTCAATGATGGGCCGATACCAAGAAAAATATTATGCTGCTTTTGTCAAATAGAAGATGTAAATGTGGCAACTAACAATAAATTCGATATTAATGCTTCGCCGAACGAAAACAAGAACATTCTTCATTGTTGCAGGCAGCAATAAGGTTGATACTTCTTACTACTGCTGCTGTATACACTGAAGCTTGTTGTTTGGTTTTTGCTGTGTTTGCTTTTCCAATTGTAAAAAGTTATGTCGCAAACATTCACCATTTCTGGAGATCGCAGTATCTTGAGTGCAGATTTTTTTCCACCAATCGAACTCGATGTGAGGAATACTTACGGCTTGGGGTTACACGGTTTCTATTCATACAACTCTATACTCAATATAGATGAGACAAATAACAAATTGGGTATTTGGTTCGAAGAGGGAAGCGTTGTTCTTCAGATACCACCAGGCGCCTATGAGATAGATGAAATCAATAGAGCAATACAAAAGGCTATAGAGAGTTGGACTCCGCTGAATGGGCGAAATATTGATGATGTATTCTCCCTTCGAGCTAACAATAATACGCTCAAATGTGAACTCAAGTCCGAAATTATGTTAATTTTGAGTATTAACGATTCTATAGCCAAAGTCTTGGGCTTTGAACCGAAATATTACAAGCCCAATGTTTTGCATGAATCCACTTCACCTGTGAACATCATAAAGGTACGATTGATACGGGTTGATTGTAATATCACTACTGGAGCGTACCTCAATGGTGAGGAGGTTCACACGCTTTACGAGTTCGATGTCGATGTGGAGCCTGGATACAAACTCTCAAAGGAGCCGAAAAATATTATATATCTACCAATCAGTCCGACAGGGCGTCAGTCTATCGACAACATCACACTGAGAATTTTGGATGATAATGACCGATTAGTTGACTTTCGCGGAGAGAAGATTATAGTAAAATTGGAATTGAAACAGCTCGATTAATTATTACAACGGTTTGGAAAAATGGGTTTCTGCTTCGGAAACCAATCAAAACGTGTATCTCTCGCTGCAAACCCCACTATTCTACACACTACCGTTAAGAAGAAGTGTAAACGGGGTAGAGGATTCATTCAAAGACAGCTCACCGGTCAGGTAGGACGTCATAGATTATCTGCGAGCGATATAAATTTTTTGGAATCTATTGGTCTGACAGTACGACAAAGACGACGACGAACGAGTAGAAATTAGTGAACAATGGTTGTCACAAGTTCTACTAGCTTACAATTGGAGGTGTTTGATGAACCAATTTTCGATCATTCACTAATTAGCCTACATGAGCATACATACAAACCATATGGTTCACCATCATTCAAGAATTCTGATGAAATCAGGATAGCTGTCAACTTTCAAGATTTGATACTCGATATTTCTGATAGCTACATATATATTGAGGGGAAATTCACACCAGATGATGCAACGAAATCCTGCTATCTATCTAACAATACCTTAGCCTTCCTCTTCGATGAAATTCGTTATGAAATGGGTGGCGAACAAGTATGTATGATTCGAAAACCAGGCATTACTACCACAATGAAGAGCATGATCTCTTATGGAGATTCTAACGCTAAATTTCTTGAAACAGTCGGATGGGGAATTGATAGCGAAAATCAGCCAATTCTAGACAAATCTAGTCACATATTCAGTGGAAAACTACCGCTAAAATATTTAATGGGGTTCGCTGAGGATTATAATAAAGGTATATTGAATGTGAAACAGGAGCTGATACTCATCATAGCTCGATCATTCAAAAACTGCTATATAGGAGAAGTTGATGCCAGTGTGGAGATTAACAAAATCGAATGGAAGATAGGACATATTATGCCATCGGATAAGCAGAGGTTGAAATTACTGAACCGTCTCAATAAAAGTTCTACAGCAAAAGTGAAAATTGCATACAGGATGTGGGATCTGTATGAATTACCGTCAATTCGTGAAACATCTTCAGACATTTGGGCTGTTAAAACCACCAATAGTCTCGAGCGACCAAGGTACATTATCATAGGCTTCCAAAATTCTGGTAACACAGATAATAGATCCAAGGATACCACCCAATTCATTCATGCGGGAGTCAACAATATTCGACTGTATTTGAATTCGGAAGTTTACCCTTATGAACGGTGGAATTTGGATTTTGGAAAAAAGTTAGATGCTGTAGCCTATTATGCATACGATAATTTCCAACGAAGCTATTATGGTAAAGACATGAGCGAACCAATGATGAGTATTGAGGAGTTTAGAAAAAATCCGTTATTCATCATAGACTGCAGCCATCAACCGGACACATTGAAATCTTCAACTGTCGATATCAAGTTGGAGTTTGAGACACGCCAATCGAAATTTCCATCTAATACCAAGGTATATGCGCTCATTCTTCACGATGCATTTTTGACATATAGCGCACTAGATGGTTCAATACAGTTGGGTGCTCCTTGAATACACTCTACAGATCTGGAGCAAATTCTAGCCTCCGTCCACCTCCACCACCACCGCCACAGCCGACCATGAGCATTCGAAGCCTATAATTGTATTAGATCAGTTTTTTCATTATTATTATTATGTTCATTATTATTTATTATCATCATGATTATTATTATTATTATTATTATTATCGACACATGTATCTGCACTAAATTGAATAAAAGTAAACAAATGTTTTACAAATCATCGTTTTTATTTCTTGATTGATAGACAATGAAAAATGCGAGCTCATCATCATCATTCCATAATTTATATATATACATGCAAATGATAATAGTATGATTGAAGCATCTCTTAGCAATATCATCATTTCGATTCTTCTTCTCCTTCCTCCTCGTTGTCGGATGATTCTGGAATTACCCCCAAGTTGTACTTCCGTATCAGGCTGTTTGGTAGGAAATCAAAAATTTCATACAGAAATTGGTCCAAGTCCTCTCCCACCATTGCTTCAAGAAATTCCTCCAAAGTGAAGCTACCATATTCGAACCGGGCGCATAACATATAACCCTTTCTATATTGTTCGGCTTGTTTACAGAGTCGTTCAACTTGTTCTCGATCGAAGCATATGCTCAAATCATAATTTGTCGCATGCATTGCATCACGTGACAAATCAGAGAACTGACATTTCAACCTGCTCACTGCTGATTTGATGTCTTCCGCTGCCGGCCAGAATTGACTAGAATAATACATCCACATGTTGGGGAACAGGAGTCTGTAAATGATAAAAAAAAGTTTGGTAATGATGAGATTATTTGGGAGATTTGTCTTTCATTGAATTCTTTTTGGAACCTAATTTATTACTTACCGCAAACGGTACGATCTGCGTTAGTGGCTTGTGTTAATGTAATAATAATTATCATATAATTTTTAAACCCTTTTCACTAAACTATACTAAAAAAACCTATCAGAAATAATTAAGTAGAATAATTCCGAATTAATTTTGCTTGAAGTCAAACTTGATGAGAGCCCTCGTTTTTGCACCTACATATAATGGCTCACTCTGGCCCAAATATGCTAGAGTATAAAGACCATTTGAAGAATTCATCTCATCAATGTCGCTGTCACTCAGCAACTCTACAACTCTTTTGGGCAACCAACATTTCAGACTAGCCTCAGTTTCTTCATCGTACAATATTACAGAACCGCTCCTACCAAACCTGGTTCCACATAGTGATATTTTCTTGACCACATAGCTTTTATTCAAGAGTAGTGATGAGATAACAGTTTGCTTGATAATATCATTGTCTTCGTTAATTCGATTATTTATCGTTAACAAATCAATTTTAGGAGCTGCCATTATGAATTCTTCTTTGTTGAGTGAAAAGAGGTGTAAAAAGTATATAAATAATTTTTACTTACATATAACAGTTCACGTACACTTTTATTGCAAACACTTTATATTCCCAATCAATTTGAGCGGGTATATTTTTTATGTGCGAGTTGGTGGTGCGTATCTTCCGTATTATTAGGAGAACTATGCTCTCGCAGACGATACAATGATGTATTTATAGGAACTGGGATATGTGACGTAACACAGCACCCCACTTCTACCAAAACGACCTCGACCAGCCTACTCCCATTTTCAAGGTCGCACACGCTTTCACCTCCCTCTCCAAGGTCGAGGTCTCTCTCTCTCTCTACAACTCAAGGTCACTCGTTCCCAAGGTCACATATGCGAAGGTTACTCGTACAACCTTCCTTCAAGGTCACTTTGTCTCGCCCTCAAGGTCACCTCCGCGTTCAAGGGCGTGCTGTCGACACTTCACTATACGAGGTTACTCCCGCCCAAGGTCAGACCCGTTCAAGGTCACTCCCGCCCAAGGTCACTCCGCCCAAGGTCGGAGGACGGTGACCTAGGGCGGAGAGCCAGAACCGGCCAATCTTTACTACTCACATGGATACCTCTGGAGCATATCAGTTCGCAAAGATCATATGAGTCGACATCAAAACGGGTATAACGAATACAACAGGGAGAACAAGAAACTTTGACTTCGAAGATGTTTACACTGTGGCTCTGAATTCTAGCATCTGACATGCCAACAGATGGAACAGATACGATCGCACTGACCATATAGGGAGACTGTGAAGGACATATAACGAGATAAATAGGCAAGTGAGGATACTTGGACAACATCAGTCTGCACACTGTATCTCAGTATTCTATCATCTCACATGGATACTTTCGAAGCGAATTAGTTCGCAACGATCATATAAGACGACATCAACATGTGACATGCCTACAGCAATAGCAAATACTATCGCACTGACCATATGAGACGACTCCGAAGGACATATAACGAGAACAATTAATTGGCGAGTGAAAATACTTTGACAACATCAGTCTGCACACTGTATCTCTGTATTCTATCATCTCACATGGATACCATTGAAGCATGGTAGTTCGCAACGATCATATGAGTTGACATCGAATCGAGTGTAACGCACACAACAGGCAGAACAAGAAACTTTAACTTCGACTATGTTGACTCTGTAACTTTGCATTCCAGCATCTGACGATCGCACTGACCATATAAGACGACTTCGGAGGACATATAACGAGAACAATAGGCAAGTGAAGATACTTTGACAACATCAGTCTGCACACTGTATCTCTGTATTCTATCATCTCACATAGATAAGTCTGGAGCATATAAGTTCGCAACGATCATATGAGACGACATCGAAGCGGGTATTACTCACACAGCAGGCAGAACAAGAAACTTCGACCTCGACTATGTTTACTTTGTAACTTCGCATTCTAGCATCTCGAATGCCCATTCAAGAAGTATATATGACAGCTCAATATATGCGAGTGAAGTACTATACTTTTTCATATCCATCTAAAACTTCGATTCCAACAATCAAGAGTCGGTAAACCTGCGTGTTCGCCAAAACTTCGAATTCATCAATCTTGATAATAAGTCGGATATACATCATATAGGTAGACATTGTCTAGTGTTTCCTGAATCAAAATAACGCTTACAACAGGAAGAGCCAGAAACTTCGACTTCAACTATGTTTACACTGTAACTTCGCATTCTAGCATCTGACGTTCCTACAGTAATTGCAGATACGATCGCACTGACCATATGGGACGACTTCGAAGGACATAGAACGGGAAGAATAGGCAAGTGAAGATACTTCGACAACATCAGTCCGCATACCGTATCTCTGTATTCTATCATCTCACATAGCATATATGTTCGCAACGATCACATAAGATGACATCGAAGCTGGTGTAACGCACACAACAGGCAGAACAAGAAACTTCGACTTCTACCATGTTTACACTGTAACTTAGCATTCCAGCATCTGACATGCCTGAAGCCACAGCAGATACGATCGCACTGACCAAATAAGACGACTTCGGAGGTTATATAACGAAAGCAATAGGCAAGTGGGTATCAGTCTGCACACTGTATCTCTGTATTGTAACATCTCACATGAATACCTTTGTAGCATGAGAGTTCGCAACGATCATATGAGTTGACATCGAATCGGGTATAACGCACACAACAGGCAGGCAGGCGGCTCGGTGGTCGAGAGCGTGAAGGCGCTGAGTTCGTATGGGGACTCAATACAATTCAATTCAATTCAAAATATACTTCATTGTCTTGAGTTATCACTTGTTGACAAAGCTTGTTATACACATAAAATACATAAAAAATGAATAAATGAACAATACTAGTTCTAAAATCACACACTTGTCGACAACACTTGGAATGTATATAAATAAGTAAAAATAAATTGATCCAACAGACAAAATAGGTGATGTAAATATATATACACACAGCAATTTGAGAGACTCTAGTTGAAGCTTCGCAGAAAATATTCAGTCAAGTTGTACAATGATGTTTGTAGAAGTGATGCTTTCACCTTAGTACGGAATTTTTCATAACATGCGATACCTTTTATGTCATTTGGCAGATGATTGTATATTTTTATTCCAGAGTAAATAATAGAATCCTTAATCATAATGGTGCGGGGGATTATCAATTTTATTTGACCGCTCTGTCTTGTATTATATCGTGAGGAGACAAGTGGGAAAGACCGTATATTCTTGAAAATCAGAGAAGCTGTTTCCAAGATATATAAAGAAATCACAGTTAGTATATATTGGAGTTAAAGAATTCTACTTATCTTCGAAAAAATGTATAAGTCCAATTTTCATGAATAAATATAATAAAAATAGACCTTATCTTGAAATGGAAATATTCAACTCGAATATATTAGCTTTAATTTAATTTAAGTGGAGCAAATTCATCCATTATAGGTTCCTTAGGTTTTTCTTTACTGAAAAATGTCAATATGAATTTTATTCGTGACTCTATTTCAAATGTTACTACAGCTGATGGAAAATCTCAAAATTGTCTAGGTTATGTTATGTTACGTATAACATTGAATAATATCTCAAAATTATTGAAAATTTCAGTGATTCCAGATATCACGCGAGACCTTATTTCAGACATGAATGGAACTTTTTAAAATAACTGCAAATTTCTTAGATTTCACTTGAAATGCAATTTCTCAATCTTGTACACTTACCTCGGTACAGTCTTTGGAGAAGTTTAATGATGAACAAAAGGCAAAACTTGAATCATGTATGTAACGAATGGCCCTATTCAGAGAAACGCCGTTACCTTTTACACATCACATTCATTCTTTATTATCACAGTTTGAACTCGACTAACATTTTATGGTTAGAGTGATCTCACTCACTCGAAAGCTAGGAACCAAGAGAACTTGCCTATCTATGCTACCTGATAGATACCTCTGTCATTCCTACTGCGCCTGTGCGCGTTAAACAATGACGCTCGTGTTTTCCGGGTGTTGCTCGATGGCTCAACTCTGCTTGAAGAGGGTGCATTTGACTCCAC